ACAACATCGTCTTTTTTCTCTGTTCCTGCCGCTGCCTTGCTCTTGGTGTTTTTGCGCCTGTCACCCCCCTCCCACCGGACGGCTTTGTGCTCGTCCGGTGGGAGGGGGGCCTGTGCGGCGACTTCTGTACTGCGGTCTTCCTGCGGCGGGGCGCGTTGGCAGGGCGATATGGTCATTCGACTTTCTTTTTGAAAATTTCCGTCGTCCGGTATCATTACAAGATGTTTATATGCGTGCATTCATGTAAGGACGCATTCTCATTCTCTCGCCGCTCTCTCTCTCTCTCTATATCTTCATCATCTTTGGATCGGTGCATAGTATAATATCACACATCTTCTCTGGGATTGTATAGCGATGGGGGCTCTTTCGTGATTTCTGAGGTCTACGTGGTGCCATGATGGTGCTGAGGTAGCGGAATTCTGATTCGTGGGCTGGTAGTATCAGATCGGTTGATATACATACATGCACATGCATATATATATATACTATGTTTTAAGACCTTTGAAGAACTTATTGGTTTCTTTCTCTATTTTTCTATATATATATATATCATACATAATCAGATTTCAATTTACGTAAACAGACGGAGCAATAAAAGACACAGAATGTCAAATATATCGATGATCCTACGGGTGCACATACACGGAGATGCACTCATACCTCATACACACACACATACAGATACTATGCGGATAGACCCAGAGACCCCACGTCGGTTCCCAAAGCCGTCCTCAGTGCTCAGTCTCGGCCCTTTTCTTCTCCTGACGGGGGAAACCGTGCGGGAATGTGCCGTGTGAATAGGCCAGTGGATGGGAATTGGGGACGCAATCTTTAGCGAAGTGGAATGGCCACTACATCCTTCGATCTATATCATGGTGTACAGTCAATGTTTTCGGGGTGTCCAGGATGTAAAGACGGGCTTTTAATATATACAACTAGTCTTGCCAAATAGGAATTTCGAATGCCTAGTCTTGAAGTTGCACACCAATGCTTATAATTTTAACGGTTTGAAATCTCGTTACGTGGAAGATGGAAAGTTGCCCTTCGCCAAAAATTAAGTGAGTGCTCGTGCGCATTCCGGGCCCCAGCCCCACTCCCTGGCCTCAGGATTGGTCAGCTTGGTCCAGCTGCCTCACCCGACCCAGGAGTGCCCTTACGTGCTGGGCAATCCTCCTGGGCCACGCCTGCCGGCGTTGGCGGTCCCCTCCGCAAAGCGAGGGCTTGGCGAGCGGCTGCTGACAGCAGCTTCTTGACTCGCCGCAGGCGCTGAAGCTCCAGCACCGTGCCGACAACCATCTCCTTCGATGTGAATCAGATCAGGGTGGGTCCAATTTAAGGGGTCTAGATTTTTACAGATAGGCATAGCTAGATCGTAGAGGCATACACATATAAATAAATAAATAAATAAATAAACCAAAAAAATAAATAAATATATATATATATATGTATGTTGATATTTACATAAACAGTGGATCTACTGTAGGTGTGTAACCTCTTCGTTCGATTTTTCCTTCTTTATTGCATCCATTGATCTTTCTGCACTAAGAGATGTCTCAATCCTGAATGGCCGATCGTTATATCATGTCTTTTTTATAAACATTAGATATTTTTATCTTTTTAGACCTCATAAACTCTGTTCTCAAGTCGTTGTTTTCGCGGAGATGCATCGGGCCATCGGTGATCAACCTACTTGCTCCAGCAATCTGTGATAGAATCAAGATAATTGATGGTGCATCATTCGTGCTACGGCTTTAAAAAAAAAACGCTACAAAAGCGCAACCCAGCCTGGATAAAGGGTTACTAAAAAAACGAAGGGATTTGAGAACAGGCCCTTCATTTTTGTGGTGATGTTTAAGTAGATCCCACTGATCGAATTGGAACGCCTCGTTTTTTAGCGTTTGCATTTTGTAGTGATCCTTATTGTGACACAAGAGAAGTCACAGACCAACAGACTCAACAGACCTACAAAATTCAAGTTTTTTCATTTGAGAAGAGATCCTGCAAGATGGTGCATATGTTTGATTTTGTCGCCAAGTGCCACGCCTGCCACGCAAAGTGCCGCGGCGTCACAAGTTGCGCGTGAAAGAGAGTGTGTGACAAAGTTGTGTGTGAAAGATGGTGTGTGACAAAGTTGTGTGAAAGATGATGTGTGACAAAGTTGTGTGTGAAAGATGGTGTGTGACAAAGTTGTGTGTGAAAGATGGTGTGTGACAAAGTTGTGTGTGTGAAAGATGGTGTGTGACAAAGTTGTGTGCGAAAGATGGTGTGTGACAAAGAGGCGGCGGAGGTGGCGTGACGGAGGCCGGACGGATACAGAATCAAAAACAAGAACCCCACACAAAGATGTGGGGAAAAAGAAATCGATCAGACAAGGGACAAGGGCTTACATGCTGTGACCATGCCTGTGGCAGGGGCTTGCGCTGCCCGGACTATTTTTTTGCAAAGCGGATGGCTCGGAAGTGCGACGTTGTTTCCTGGTGCCTTGACTCAGGGAAGGGTC